CTGCTTTTGATTTTCGGGCCTCTTGAAGTAGCATATGCCTTTTGTGTGGCATGTTGAGCCCCCTGACATTATGGGAATAAACTATCAGTGTATGGTATAAGGCAGATCGCTATCAGTAAGATCAGTGTCTTGAGAAGTGAGATATGCTTTGTGCTGTTGCTCGCAAACTGAGGACCTAAGGGTTCCATTCTGCACGGCATGGTTTTGCCTGAATGTTTGGGCAGGGTAGGGGGGGGGCGGTATCCCAACTGGGGGGGGGGAAACAGGGATAAAAGGAAAATAAACCTAATTAACCAAAGTATATACATAATGGCCCGATCTCGGTGCAAGGCGCTACTGGTTAGCGCCGTGGGGAGCGTGGGATCGGAGATGGTGGACAGGTGATGGCATATGGTGCCAAATGTTCTTTTGAGGAACATCACTAGGTCAGGTGTGGTCCTGTGTGTTCCTTAAGTGTGAACCATATGATGGGTGAAAGGCACCTTATGTAAATATAGTGAGAAGCCCTTCTGGGGCCTCAATCTAAGAAGGAGGTAGGGGTCAGAAACTTGGGTGGGTACTATACCGGGGGGGGTCTCCCCGCTGCGTGAGCATGTCTGCAGACTGGACCCATGAGTGAGTCGTCCGCTATATTACGTTTGGTGTCCCTGGCTTAAGGGGTACGTTGTCGGGCCTTGGCGACCGTCAAATAGAATGTGACCAGGGGGATACGCATGTTTCAGGAAGGTGGCATGTAACAGTAACAAATAAGCAATTAGGTCATATACATTACAATGTTGCTAGTACACCCTGCAAACGATATGAACAAGTATAAGATGACATAAAAATTGACAGTTATGTGCGTACTGCAAATTGCAGTGGAGCTAAGTATACCAACGTCTTTCAAGCTCTAGCGGGCTGGCCTTTAGGGTAATAGTGGCCAGAAGTCAACGTTAATTGTGAGCATAATAAGATCGTGTAGGTCGCCAAAGCGGGTATACTTGCGGTAAGGCCTTATACCTGGGGGTCCCCCAGCTGCGTGAGTATGTCTGCAGACTAGACACATGAGTGAGTCGTCCGCCATATTATGTTTGGTGTCCCTGGCTTAAGGGGTACGTTATCGGTCTTTGGCGACTGTCAAATAGAGTGTGGCCAGGGGGTTACGCATGTTTCAGGGAGGTGGCATGTAACAGTAACAGATAAACAATTAGGTCATATACATTACAATGTTGCTAGTACACCCTGCAAACGATATGAACAAGTGTAAAATGGCATAAAAATTGACAGTTATTTGCGTACTGTAAATTGCAGTGGAGCTAAGTATATCAGCGTCTTTCAAGCTCTAGCGGGCTGGCCCTTGGGGTATTAGTAGCCAGGAGTCAATGTTAATTGTCAGCCTAATAAGAACGTGTAGGCCGCCGAAGCGGGTATACTTGCGGTAAGGCCTCAGTCGGCGATGTGCCAGTCCTTGACCACTTGTCTCGGTGGTTTCGGGGCTTGTGTGTCGCCTATGACGGTTAGATTCCATTGATGCAGGAGGTGTATGCCTTCTTCTGCTGTTTGTACTGTGGTGGTGGTTCCATTTCTCGAGACAATCAGACGAACAGGGAAGCCCCCAGCGGTACAGGATACGGTTGGCGCGTAGGGTTTCTGTCACCTGTTGGAAGGTTTTCCGTTGTTTCAGGGTGGCTGCTGAAAGATCTGAAAACATTTTAATGCTTGTATATTCAGCCGGTAGGTCTTTCACGGTTCTGCTTCTTCTCATCAGGAGGTCTTTAACATGAAAGTAGTGTGCTTTCAATAACACATCCCTGGGTAAGGACGTGGCAATATGTTGAGGTTTAGGGACTCTGTGCAGGCGGTCCAGCAGCAGCATGTCTGTGGGTATTTCTGGTGTCAGGAGCTTGAAGAAGCTGTGTACATAGCTGGGTAGGTCCGCCGGGAGGACCGTCTCTGGGATGCCTCTCAGCCTGATATTGCTCCTTCTAGAACGATCCTCTAGATCCATGAGTTTTGCTTCACATTTCTGGATCTGGTCTGTGAGGGATTTTAAGTGCTCTGTGGACGCGTTGTGCGCGTCGACTAAATCTTCCATCTTGGCCTCCACGTGCGTTGTGCGGGATCCGACATCTTGGAGGTCCCGTTTGAGTTCTGCCACGCTGGATTGCCAGGTAGCGACCAGCCTTTGTGACTGTTCGTCTAGGGCTCTCTTTAGGAAGGCAGCTGTGAGCGGTTCTCCGTCATGCAGTGATTCCGCCTCTGATCTTGGGCTGCTCCCCCCTGAGTGGTCGGCGCCATCTTGATGGCCTGCTGTGTCTATTTGTTTTGCCAGAGCTGCCCCTTTCTTCTGAGCGAAGAAGCTAATTTTGTCGGGTTTGTCTTGATGCCGGCGGGTTTTGGGTTGCGACATCTTCGGAGTGTAAGTTGTTTTCCCGCAGGGTTCTCACTTAGGAAATCTATTGCCTTGCTCGTGGTGCGGAGCTAAGAGCTCATGCGGCCATCTCTCTCCGTGCCTAGCCACGCCCTCGTTCGGAGTCTTTTTAATAGACCCAGGGATACAAACGTTTAGCTGATATTCCCCTCGGATTTGGTTTTCAGGCAGTTGGAAGGTTATGCGTAAAAATATTAAGAAATACTAAAATTAACACTTTACTGAACTTATTCTACCAGTACACATTTTTGGACTCTGTGAGTTTCATGTATCTTGGGTTTTTAAATGACATTTTTGTTTCCTGAATAAAGATTTCAGATTTTTTTAGCCTTAGCCGTATAAACATCCAGACATTTTGACTGCTATGGGTATACTGTTTTCCGAGATATCTCTGGGTTATCTCCTAATTTTTTGTTTAAGGCTCAGATTACATTCTGCGTTCACTTTAGTGCCCGATATAGCGATATAGCTACATAGATGTGTATATACAGAGGGAGATTTATCAGGCAAACCTGGGTGCTAAAAGTGCTAAATGTTGAGAGACACTCTGGCTTTTAATGGTGATTGCACCTTATTTAGCATTTTTTTAAGAGCAATTTTATTTATCTTGCTAATGAAATATAATTATTTTTATACACTTTGATTTTTAACATGTTAATCTAGGGGCGTATTCACTAACATTGCCAGACATATTTTATGGGTGTTCAATAAAGGGACACTCCAAGCACCATAATCCATATAGTGCACTGTAGTGGTTATGGTCAAGGAGTGCCCTAGTAACCCTTAGTGTAAGTTGTTAAATTCCTACCCCGGGTGCGCCATCGACGTTCCCTGTCTCCATTGTAGACGTCATAAAGCTCTCAGTCTGAGCGCGCGGCGAGGGAATGGCCAATAGCACCGAGCTGACATTCGGCCACTGAGCTTCATTCAGAAGAGCTAATGGAAGAAAATACACACAAACACTCACACACAAACATATAGATTTTATTAAATGAACTAGATGGAAGAAAAAAATAAAACAAAAAGAGGAGAAAGTCATCCCTACCTCTAGATCAGGCTTCCCCAAACTCCGGCCCTCCAGATGTTGCTGAACTACAACTCCCATGATTCTATGAATGAAATAGGCTGAGAATCATGGGAGTGGAGGGCCGGAGTTTGGGGAAGCCTGCTCTAGAGTCTATCTAGTGTGTGATAGTATCCTTCCACCATATACATCCACCTTGTTTAAATACTGACAGTCTCCATGGTCTTCCCGGCTTCACTCCCAGCACAGAATCAGGGAAGACCATAGAAACTAACGGTCTCTCCCAAGGTGTATGCATATGGCGGAGGGATCCTTTCATATACCAAGGGGAGGGATCAGTTATTCTGTGTTTATTTTTTTTTTAGATATGCTGAATTAAAATAAAATCCTTGTTATTACCAAACTTATATTAAATAACTGCTGTGACGTGACACTTGCTCTTTAACTATGCTCTGTCATTAACCAGCGCCTTCGAAGTGACCCAGATCAGTCCGATTTGGTACCCAATCAAATCACTGTAACTAACCCTAAATGTGACTGAAATTGCTCAAAAAACCCCAGGCTTCCTGAGCTATTTATTAAAGGACCAGCTTAATGAAGTGGTCTGGGTGCCAGGTCCAGCTAGGGTTAACCCTTTTTTTAAATAAACATAGCAGTTTCAGAGAAACTGCTATGTTTATGTTAGGGTTAATCCAGCCTCCAGTGGCTGTCTCCCTGATTTTCACAGTGAGAAGACGCCAGCGTCCATAGGAAAGCATTGAGAATGCTTTCCTATGGACTGGCTGAATGCGCGCGCATCTCTTGTCGTGCATGCGCATTCAGCTGAAGAGGCGGAGAGGAGGAGGAGAGCTCCCCGCCCGGCGCTGGAGAAAGAGGTAAGTTTAACCCCTTCCTCTCCATCCAGCCCGGCGGGAGGGGGACCCTGAGGGTGGGGGCACCCTCAGTGCACTATAGTGCCAGGAAAACAAGTATGTTTTCCTGGCACTATATTGGTCCTTTAATCAGGACAAAAGTTTTTAACATAAAACTTAAACATTAACAATAAAACTAAGGTTTTATTTATAAACAAATGTATTTTCTTCTCGACTTACAAACAATATATAATACACACACTTTAACACTTACACACATATAGTCGCATACTTTGTCTTTTACACATATGTACACTCACTCTTACACACACACAGCTACGCATATGTACACTCACGCTTACACACACACAGCTACACATATGTACACTTACACACAGCTACATATATGTACACTCATTCTTACACACACACAGCTACACATATGTACACTCACACTTACACACACACACAGCTACATATATGTACAAACACACACTCTCCCTTACATAAATGCATTAATTCATTACACAAAGGCACACTTTGTACACACATAGCTACACTGGCTCTCTATACAAACACACTCCTTGCAAATTACACAGTATATGCAGACGTACACTATCCCATATACACACACACACACATAAAAGTACCAAACGTTGCCTACCCCCGCTCTGGCGTTAGGAATCAGGGGATTTGCCAAAGTTGATAACATTCCACTTCTGCCCCATAATTAACAAACAATCAGAATTACTCACTAAGTTCACGGTTTAGAGAATCGGTCTCTTCGATTTTAGTCAGCTGTTTATGCCACATCACGCTATGTTTCTATGGGAATATATATAAAAAACACTGGTTATAATTAAAGGTATGAATATTCATTATTTTCACAACTAATTATGTCACCTGCACATTAAATCAGACTAACAACTTAAATGAGGGGGGTACAATCAAGTCAAACCACTACAGACCTTATTCAATAAACAGTTAATTTCCCTGCCAGGAACCTGCATTGTGTTATTTATGCCACAAGTATTTTTTGTTTTCAATTCATTGCCAAAACCGATTTTGGCTATTTGATAAATAAACCTCAATGTCTTTATTACTGGGAGCCTTAAAGGGACACACCGCAAAGTGTAGATTTCAATAGAAAAGGGCACATTTCTAAATGAACCCTCTTACACCCCTCAGACTCAATGAGATTGGGGTATTTCTCGACATAATCTGTGTCCGGAAAATAGCTGAGGCAGGGATCTGCAGCTTTTGCTAGTTTTTAGACATACCCCAATAAAAAATGCACAATTAAATGCATACATAGTGTAAAGGATTTCCTTGTGTTTACCTGTACCCATTCGGTTATTTCCTCTCCCTGCTATTTAAGTGACTGTAAAGTATTCGTTGTTATTTCTGTGTTCGGGACATTTATTTATTCTACCGAACGGGGACCACCCTGGGTAGCAATCAGAATTTAGAACACCAAGTAACCACGAAAACCGCAAGGTAATTGAGAGCTTCTAGGTGGCTGCCATTCGGCATACGAACACGTGGCGAGAACAAAGGATGGCGGCCATATTAAATCTCCCGAACGCGGCCAGTGGGACTTACTCGTGGACTGCTTGGAACCATTTTCGGCATGGCAATCACACGAACACCCAGTCTCCATGGAAGTCCTGTCTGACCTATTTCCACTCACAGTATCAGACTGGCGTTCGGGAGTTTCAATCAACCGAATGAGGGGAGCATTCACATGTAACCATATACCGTATAACTGTGGTGGTTTCCGTGTAATTCCACACGAACGGAGACCGGCTCTTGCTACCAATTTCATGGAACTCTAACTTGGATACAACCACATGGCGAGCCGGTCAAACTTCCACACGATGCGAGACGAAAACTACCGAACGGATTTTCGTGCAATTTGGATATGTTACTCCTAGTATCCTCAGCTACCCAGGGATGTTTATATTTCTTTGACATGTGGAAAGTATATTTTCAAAAATGTGGAAATTTGTTAATGTTTTTGGCCAGCAGATAATTGAGTTTAGTATGTTGCTGAAACTCAATTATCTAGCCTGGCCCAGAGGAGGAGCTTGTACTGTATAAATTGAATGCCTGTTGCTTCCATTAAATCCGTCTTGTTCCAGCATTAAGCTTTGGCTCATGTGTGGATTATTTGGCGATACCAGCGATATTTTACCCTGTGGATTATTGTTGTTATTCAGTAGAAAGAGGGAAGTGCTCATGCCATTGTACAGAACACTGGTGAGACCTCACTTGGTGTATTGTACACAGTACTGGAGACCGTATCTTCAGAAGGATATTGATACCTTAGAGAGGGTTCAGAGAAGGGCTACTAAACTGGTTCATGGATTGCGGGATAAAACTTACCAGGAAAGGTTAAAGGATCTTAACATGTATAGCTTGGAGGAAAGACGAGACAGGGGGGATATGATAGAAACATTTAAATATATAAAGGGAATCAACACAGTAAAGGAGGAGACTATATTTAAAAGAAGAAAAACTACCACAATAAGAGGACATATTCTTAAATTAGAGGGACAAAGGTTTAAAAATAATATCAGGAAGTATTACTTTACTGAGAGGGTAGTGGATGCATGGAATAGCCTTCCAGCTGAAGTGGTAGAGGTTAACACAGTAAAGGAGTTTAAGCATGCGTGGGATAGGCATAAGGCTATCCTAACTATAAGATAAGGCTAGGGACTAATGAAAGTATTTAGAAAATTGGGCAGACTAGATGGGCCGAATGGTTCTCATCTGCCGTCACATTCTACAGGGAGTGCAGAATTATTAGGCAAGTTGTATTTTTGAGGATTAATTTTATTATTGAACAACAACCATGTTCTCAATGAACCCAAAAAACTCATTAATATCAAAGCTGAATATTTTTGGAAGTAGTTTTTAGTTTGTTTTTAGTTTTAGCTATGTTAGGGGGATATCTGTGTGTGCAGGTGACTATTACTGTGCATAATTATTAGGCAACTTAACAAAAAACAAATATATACCCATTTCAATTATTTATTATTACCAGTGAAACCAATATAACATCTCAACATTCACAAATATACATTTCTGACATTCAAAAACAAAACAAAAACAAATCAGTGACCAATATAGCCACCTTTCTTTGCAAGGACACTCAAAAGCCTGCCATCCATGGATTCTGTCAGTGTTTTGATCTGTTCACCATCAACATTGCGTGCAGCAGCAACCACAGCCTCCCAGACACTGTTCAGAGAGGTGTACTGTTTTCCCTCCTTGTAAATCTCACATTTGATGATGGACCACAGGTTCTCAATGGGGTTCAGATCAGGTGAACAAGGAGGCCATGTCATTAGATTTTCTTCTTTTATACCCTTTCTTGCCAGCCACGCTGTGGAGTACTTGGACGCGTGTGATGGAGCATTGTCCTGAATGAAAATCATGTTTTTCTTGAAGGATGCAGACTTCTTCCTGTACCACTGCTTGAAGAAGGTGTCTTCCAGGAACTGGCAGTAGGACTGGGAGTTGAGCTTGACTCCATCCTCAACCCGAAAAGGCCCCACAAGCTCATCTTTGATGATACCAGCCCAAACCAGTACTCCACCTCCACCTTGCTGGCGTCTGAGTCGGACTGGAGCTCTCTGCCCTTTACCAATCCAGCCACGGGCCCATCCATCTGGCCCATCAAGACTCACTCTCATTTCATCAGTCCATAAAACCTTAGAAAAATCAGTCTTGAGATATTTCTTGGCCCAGTCTTGACGTTTCAGCTTGTGTGTCTTATTCAGTGGTGGTCGTCTTTCAGCCTTTCTTACCTTGGCCATGTCTCTGAGTATTGCACACCTTGTGCTTTTGGGCACTCCAGTGATGTTGCAGCTCTGAAATATGGCCAAACTGGTGGCAAGTGGCATCGTGGCAGCTGCACGCTTGACTTTTCTCAGTTCATGGGCAGTTATTTTGCGCCTTGGTTTTTCCACACGCTTCTTGCGACCCTGTTGACTATTTTGAATGAAACGCTTGATTGTTCGATGATCACGCTTCAGAAGCTTTGCAATTTTAAGAGTGCTGCATCCCTCTGCAAGATATCTCACTATTTTTGACTTTTCTGAGCCTGTCAAGTCCTTCTTTTGACCCATTTTGCCAAAGGAAAGGAAGTTGCCTAATAATTATGCACACCTGATATAGGGTGTTGATGTCATTAGACCACACCCCTTCTCATTACAGAGATGCACATCACCTAATATGCTTAATTGGTAGTAGGCTTTCGAGCCTATACAGCTTGGAGTAAGACAACATGCATAAAGAGGATGATGTGGTCAAAATACTCATTTGCCTAATAATTCTGCACTCCCTGTATGTTTCTATGTAACTCTTATCCTGTATGTTAAAATTACAACGTGTGAAATGGGCCATAAAAATTACATTACAATTTACTGCTTTTACTCATAATCATTGCTAACAGTATACAAGAGTAAAATTAACTAAAAATATATTATATATAAATAGTATTTACTAGATTAAAATATACCTTTAAAGGAGCACTATATGGTCAGGAACACAAACATGTATTCCTGACACTATTGTGTTAAAACCCCTCTTTAGGTGTCTTGCCACCCTTAAAAATGTATTTTATTCCAGCGCTGGTCCTGCCTCCAATCCGCCTCTCAGCCAATCTCCCATAGGAAATCATTGGTCTAGCTGAGATAGTCAATTCTAATGATTTCATTAATGCCGCCCTGGCCAATCAGGAATTCTTCATAGAGATGCATTGAAATAATGCATCTCTATGGGGGAAAGTTCAATGCAGAGCCTGGAGATGCTGAATGTCAGTGATGCACACTGTGCTGCATTGCCCCAGGAAGCACCTCTAGTGGCCTTTTGAGTTACTGTGTTTACTGCAAAAAGCCTGATGGGAATGACTATACTTACCAGAACAACTACAATAATTCTATACTACACATTAAGCTGTATACTACACATTAAGCCGTATACTGTACATTAAGCCGTATACTGTACATTACTCTGTATACTATACATTAAGCCGTATACTGTACATTAAGCCGTATACTATACATTAAGCCGTATACTGTACATTAAGCGTATACTATACATTAAACGTATACTGTACATTAAGCCGTATGCTATACATTAAGCTGTGTACTGTACATTAAGCCGGATACTATACATTAAGCCGTATACTGTACATTAAGCCGTATACTGTGCATTAAGCCGTATACTGTACATTAAGCTGTATACTGTACATTAAGCGTATACTATACATTAAACGTATACTGTACATTAAGCCGTATGCTATACATTAAGCTGTTTACTATACATTAAGCCGTATACTGCACATTAAGCCGTATACTGTACATTAAGCTGTATACTGTACATTAAGCCGTATACTGTACATTAAGCTGTAGTGGTTCTGGTGACTATAGTGTCCCTTTAAAAGAAGGGGAGGTAAAGGGTAGCTGCCAGGGATACTTTTGGACCAACAGCACTGCCAGAGATTGTGAAATAACAGGTATACGCAAACCAGTATGTATTTTATCAGTGCCCCTCCCTGGCCCCCAGTCCATACCATTAATATCCCACTTACAGTATGGCCCCTCCCTGGCCCCCCAGTCTATCCCATTAATATCCCACTTACAGTATGGCCCCTGCCTGGCCCCCAGTCCATACCATTAATATCCCACTTACAGTATGGCCCCTGCCTGGCCCCCCAGTCTATCCCATTAATATCCCACTTACAGTATGGCCCCTGGCTGGCCCCCCAGTCTATCCCATTAATATCCCACTTACAGTATGGCCCCTGCCTGGCCCCCCAGTCTATCCCATTAATATCCCACTTACAGTATGGCCCCTACCTGGCCCCCCAGTCTATCCCATTAATATCCCACTTATGGCCCCTTCCTGGCCCCCAGTCTATCCCATTAATATCCCACTTACAGTATGGCCCCTACCTGGCCCCCCAGTCTATCCCATTAATATCCCACTTACAGTATGGCCCCTGCCTGGCCCCCCAGTCTATCCCATTAATATCCCACTTACAGTGTGGCCCCTGCCTGGCCCCCCAGTCTATCCCATTAATATCCCACTTACAGTGTGGCCCCTGCCTGGCCCCCCAGTCTATCCCATTAATATCCCACTTACAGTGTGGCCCCTGCCTGGCCCCCCAGTCTATCCCATTAATATCCCACTTACAGTGTGGCCCCTGCCTGGCCCCCCAGTCTATCCCATTAATATCCCACTTACAGTATGGCCCCTGCCCCCAGTCCATCCATTAATATCCCACTTACAGTATGGCCCCTCCCTGGCCCCCCAGTGGCCCCCAGTCTATCCCATTAATATCCCCCTTACAGTATGGCCCCTGCCTGGCCCCCCAGTCTATCCCATTAATATCCCACTTACAGTATGGCCCCTGCCTGCCCCAGTCTATCCATTAATATCCCACTTACAGTATAGCCTGCCTGGCCCCCCAGTCTATCCCATTAATATCCCACTTACAGTATGGCCCCTGCCTGGCCCCCCAGTCTATCCCATTAATATCCCACTTACAGTGTGGCCCCTGCCTGGCCCCCAGTCTATCCCATTAATATCCCACTTACAGTATGGCCCCTGCCTGGCCCCCCAGTCTATCCCATTAATATCCCACTTACAGTGTGGCCCCTGCCTGGCCCCCAGTCTATCCCATTAATATCCCACTTACAGTATGGCCCCTGCCTGGCCCCCCAGTCTATCCCATTAATATCCCACTTACAGTGTGGCCCCTGCCTGGCCCCCAGTCTATCCCATTAATATCCCACTTACAGTATGGCCCCTGCCTGGCCCCCAGTCTATCCCATTAACATCCCACTTACAGTATGGCCCCTGCCTGGCCCCCCAGTCTATCCCATTAATAGCCCACTTACAGTGTGAGCCCCAGGACTATCCTCCACTTGTTTGACAGACTTGTCCCTCGCACTGCATCCCGGGATGTGTAGTCCCCGCCCCCTTTCTGCTCTCCCGTTTGACTGTGACAGCAGACTACATGTCCCGGCATCCCCCGCGGCCGGCTTCCCTGAGCTCGGCCTGTGATTGGCTGCTGTGTGCAGAATGAATGAAATGGTACAGTATTGTGATATTAGAGGTCTGCAGTGTTCCTGCCTAATACTGAGCTTCACCATGAGCACAGCCCTGCACAACCCCCTCAAATCGTGAGTACTGCTCCCCCAAACAGCAAGCCCCCCCAAACCATGTGTGCTGCATTATTCAGAGGGAGGTGGGGGGGCTGCTCCCCAAAACACCAACACCTGCTGGTACCTACCTCCTCTATGCACAGCATGGACCTGGTACCTACCTCCTCTATGCGCAGCATGGACCTGGTACCTACCTCCTCTATGCGCAGCATGGACCTGGTACCTACCTCCTCTATGCGCAGCATGGACCTGGTACCTACCTCCTCTATGCGCAGCATGGACCTGGTACCTACCTCCTCTATGCGCAGCATGGACCTGTTACCTACCTCCTCTATGCGCAGCATGGACCTGGTACCTACCTCCTCTATGCGCAGCATGGACCTGGTACCTACCTCCTCTATGCACAGCATGGACCTGGTACCTACCTCCTCTATGCGCAGCATGGACCTGGTACCTACCTCCTCTATGCACAGCATGGACCTGGTACCTACCTCCTCTATGCTCAGCATGGACCTGGTACCTACCTCCTCTATGCACAGCATGGACCTGATACCTACCTTAACTATATCTGGCATATTGTCCATCTATAGGTATACAGTCTGTTTCTAGTGTAAAACAGAATACATGTTGCACGCTGTCTGTCTATACAGATATACAGTATCTCCCAAAAGTGAGTACACCCTCAGATTTTTGTAAATATTTTATTATATCCTTTCATGTGACAACACTGAACGAAAGACACTCTGCTACAATGTAAAGTAGTAAGTGAACAGCCTGTATAACAGTGTAAATTTGCCGTCCCCTCAAAATAACTCAACACACAGCCAGTAATGTCTAAACCGTTGGCAACAAAAGTACTAAGTGGAAATTGGGCCCAAAATGTAAACATTTTGTGTGGCCACCATTATTTTCCAGCACTGCCTTAACCCTTATGGGCATGGAGTTCACCAGAGCTTCACAGGTTGCCACTGGAGTCCTCCTCCATGACAACATCACAGAGCTGGTGGATGTTAGAGACCTTGCGCTCCCCCACCTTCCGTTTGAGAATGCCCCACCCATGCTCAATAGGGTTTAGGTCTGGAGACGTTTCGCCAGTCCATCACCTTTACCTTCAGCTTCTTAACAACGCAGTGGTCACCTTGGAGGTGTGTTTGGGGTCGTTATCATGTTAGAATACTGCCCTGCCGCCCAGTCTCTGAAGGGAGGAGATCATGCTCTGCTTCAGTATGTCACAGTACATGTTGGCATTCATGGTTCCCTCAATGAACGGTAGCTCCCCAGTGCCGACCATGCCGCTCCCACCACCACCTGGTTGCTGCCACACACGCTTGACACCATCTGACCAAATAAGTTTATTTGGTCTCATTGGACCACAGGACATGATTCCAGTAATCCATGTCCTTAGTCTGCTTGTCTTCAGCAAACTGTTTGCGGGCTTTCTTGTGCATCATATTTAGAAGAGGCTTCCTTCTGGGAAGACAGCCATGCAGACTAATTTGATTCCGTGTACGGGGTATGGATTTGAGTACTGACAGGCTGACCCCCCACCCCTTCAAACTCTGCAGCAATGCTGGCAGCACTCATTCATCTTTTTTCCAAACATAACCTCTGGATAAAACGCTGTGAACGTGCACTCAACTTCTTTGGTCGATCATGGCGAAGCCTGTTCTGAATGGAACCTGTCCTGTGAAACCGCTGTATGGTCTTACCCACCATGCTACAGCTCAGTTTCAGGGTCTTGGCAATCTTCTTATAGCCTAGGCCATCTTTATGTAGAGCAACAATTCATTTTTTCCAATCCTCAGAGAGTTCTTTGCCATGAGGTGCCATGTTGAACTTCCAGTGACTAGTCTGAGAAAGTGAGAGCGATAACGCCAAGTTTAACACACCTGCTCCCCATTCACACCTGCGACCTTGGAACACTAACGAGTCACATGACCCTGGGGAGGGAAAATGGCTAATTGGGTTCAATTTGGACTTTTTCACTTAGGGGTGTACTCACTTTTGTTGCCAACGGTTTAGACATTAATGGCTGTGTGTTGAGTTATTTTGAGGGGACAGCAAATTTACCCTGTTATACAGCCTGCACACTTACTACTTTACATTGTAACAGTGTCTTTCGTTCAGTGTTGTCACATGAAAAGACATAATAAAATATTTACAATATGCGAGGGGTGTACTCATTTTTGGAAGATTACAATACATATTACAATAAATTATGGATCAGACCGGAAGCATTATGGACTCACAGTCTGATATATTAATGCAGCAATATTTGTTGAATCAAATATTTTTCAAACACACACAGCCAAGTGAAATTCAGAGCTTATCCTGTAATAACCAAACTGTAAACCGTCACTTTGAATTCCCCACAACTCACAATTTAGTGTACGTTTTTTTTAAATTAAGTTTTTAAAGATGTCGCCACCCCCACCATCCCCCCAAAAAAGTGAGCATTTCAAAAAGATTAAATGTATGACATTACATTGAAATTCCAACACATTCAACAGATATCATTAGACAAAGCTGAGGGTAGTTTGTTTTTTTTTATCCTCAAGTTGACAAAACTTGACAAAAAGCAGCGTTCGAGCCATCAAGTTTGGTCCCTTATCCTGGCCATCACTAGTTACAGCTGTGTGAATAAGGCATTATTTCGCTGATCGTAAAATAAGATCTATATAAACTCCAGCGATCCCTCAGGATCTGCAATATTACTTTCTAACTGTTACAAAGAATCCCAGTTTTCCTATATTTTTTTATATGGGGTAATATAAATTAAGTTGATCATTGGGAAATCGACTTTATTCGAAAACGATAAAAGGAGCTCATAAATTAATGACGTGTGTGGTGTTTATATTGGGCTTGTGTTTCTTTCTCTAAAGTATGTCTTCCATTCTGAATCTTAACCCACTGCTCCCCCCAAGTTTTTTCTTATAAATATTTTATTCTTTATAAATACTTTTTTTTTTATTCAAAACTTTTTACTAATTTTTTTTTTAGAAGGGCTAAGAACTTAACAGGGGTCATTTTAAAATTGCAAAAAATATCCAGCTCAGTTATTTGGCGTAAAATTTGGCGTTCCCTTTTCTTTTTATTCAGAATTCCCCGATTATGTTCCTCATTGATTGCTGGATGGGAGTTGATCAGTGATTTTTACAGTTCATGCAATTTAATATTGTCTCTCAACGGCTGGCGTTTAAAATGTTCCATGCTCTGTGTAGGTATGGTCTTGTTGTCTATGGGTGAATGCTGACTCCTGTCTAAGACACAGGACTTTGTCTATCTTTCAAGGTCAGTGCTGAGTACAGTTTCACGTGTGGTGTACTGTGTCTTCCACTTCAAACCCCATGGGGGAAACCCAAAAAATCATTGAAAAATACTTCAGGGGTGTGCTCTAGGTTAACATTGAGGAAACTTGCTTTGTAGCTCAGCTTATTAATGCACCAACTGCGCTACCTGCTTAGATTTAAGTCTACACAGTCTTTGATCTTTCTGAGCTCAATATAGTGAGTTTTAATGAGTTTGGTAATAATTGAAGATATCTCAGAATGGGCGATACCCAATGTATCTTTATTAAAAAAGAATTTTAAAAATAATGATGTTTAAACCTGATTGAACATTCTGCAATCTTTATTAGGTATTCAGACACATAACAAGCTTGCAATATATCTCAATAGTACAGACATATTTTTTTTCAACTTTCAACGTCTTTATAAACTTGTTTATTTAGTGGAAACTAATTCCATAGTGTTAGATGTATTACGTACAGGATGTACTGTGTAAAAGTGCGAGATTCACGTTTTCCTGTGAGTGTGTGCAGTAGAGTGGTTCCATTATGTACACCGGATAATCGCGTGTATACGGGGATAAAGTACTTATATCTAAAGAAGTGATTCCAGAAACTCTATACAGAATTGTGCAGGATGGTCTCAGTGCCGCAGTCATACAATGGGAAGGATGGGGCAACGTATTAGAATATCAGACCATCCGCCATTCTTTGTCCCTCTTCGCAGTAATACTTTCACATAACTGTGTTCTTATCACTATTCCCGTTCAGGGGCCATCAACGTAAACATCCAACAGGCAAAAGAAGAAACTTTGCTTTCACTATACACTTCTCACTCACGTCCCGCCAACCCAGTATTTTTCATGAATAAAGTGCTAGACAGCCATGTCTGAATGTGAGCTAACCTATAAACTAGAAGACAGGTATGGCATGGCGATGCCTAGGGATTATGGGAGTAGGTACATGGAATGGGAACATGCTAGGTAAACACTGCTAAAGAAAAAAAAATATAAAAATAAAGAGTGGTCTGTTACTTCAAACAAGATAAAAAGCAAATAAAATACCAGAGTCCGCCACAATGAGCCCCCTGCATCCTCCTCCGATCCCCCGTTTGTGTGGAGACTGCTGGACTCTCAGAAAGCGACACTTCGTTCGTAGGCGTATGTAGCGTGGAAGCAGTGACGGTTAGCCTTCACCTGATGTCCCCAGCTCCATGCTAGTACAGGAGCCGCCATCTTGACGGGTTAAGAGGCTCAGTTCGAGCCCTTGTTAGGCCCTGCTCTGTAGCTGGCTCAGTGTCGGAATACGGCACTGGTAATCTCTCAAGTCCTATCTATGGACTCTGCCATGGAGGCAAAGGGACTCCGTGACCTCTTGGGCCACCAGAAGCCCTCGAGGGCGCTTTGGATTGGAGCGGGTGAGTATTTTGTGGTGATGTGTCTGAGGTTTGCGATTGAGTTGTCAGGTCACATTGCTGTCTCACTTCAATAGTGGTCCAGAATCTCGTAAACAGGAGATCCATCTTAGTCAGGATTGTTGTGACATGGGTCTCGGCTGGGTCTCTGGTCGCGATCACTGCCATCTTGGAAGCCGCGCAGTGACCCCAGGCAGAACAGTTCCTGTTGCCAAGAGTGTCGGAGGGAGACCTCCTGGCGGCTGTGATGGCCCCCACCGGTCCATAGGAAGGTTTGGGAAGAGTGCAGAAGTCCACTCAAAGTATCAGGATGTGGTGTCTGGAGAGCTGCCGTCCCTCTGATGCCTGACAGGTTTAAAGGCCGCAGGAAGTCAGGGAAGAGTATTCCGGTTCAGAAAAGTACTGAGTACTGTACCGATCGAGTTGCCAGATTCCCCACTATGCGGTGAGTAACACCTTGGAGCAGAGAAATAAAGCTTATTAAGCGAGTGTTGCTCAGGAGCTTGCCTTGGATGCGTCCACTCTGCTTGTCAGCCATGCGCCGCCCTCCATATTGAATTTTTTTTAATATGATATATTTTGGATATCTTAACCTTGTGAAATTTTTTAAAAAAAAGTTTATCCAAACATATTAAAGCATTTAAATAGCTTATCCAAAAACATTAAATTGAGGAAGTACTTTGTACAAAAGAGCCTCAATGGCTGGATCACAGTTCACGGGCAGGGCCCTTTTTACTTCTTGTATTTGTCCATGTACATTGGATTGGCTTTTTTGATATGTTGACACCTTATAAACGCCGTTACTAATAAATAATAATAGGTGGGAACAGAAGAAATGCGTTGGCTGAATTGCAAATATTAGGAGACACTGAGCACTGGAATTGGTTGAATGATTTGCAAGACTCCTTAAAGAGATTTTGGAGCATTTGAATATGGGGAAGAGGAATAGATTCTTAAAACACATGTCAATGCGTTTCAGATGTATGTGGCAGCTTGGGTGAAGATCTTTGGAGCTGGACATTGGAAAGCTCTGCGGAATAAGCTGGCGCTACACAAGTGATAATTTTCTTAAACACTGAGCGGAGCTATACGCTTAATCCCGACGGCCGTCGCCAGTGACTTCTGCAAACTGCAGGATCCTGCATCGACCTCAATACTGTACTCTCGATCATTAGCGAGAGTACAGCTGTGACCTAATCTGCGCCAGGAGCTGAAGAGGAGGAACATGGAGGCGCCCACGAGGGATAGGTTCAGGTAAGTAGAACTCACCTTTTCGTATATTAAAAGCTGCCACTTTAGGGATTTCAAGTAGTTTGAATGAAGTGCTGAAAATAGTTATAAATAGTTAAAAGTTAATATTTTTAAATCCGGTATTTCAAGGAAATTAAAGGAACACTATAGTCACCTAAATTACTTTAGCTAAATAAAGCAGTTTTAGTGTATAGATCATTCCCCTGCAATTTCACTGCTCGATTCACTGTCATTTATGAGTTAAATCACTTTGTTTCTGTTTATGCAGCCCTAGCCACACCTCCCCTGGCTATGATTGACAGAGTCTGCATGAAAAGAAAACTGGTTTCACTTTCAAACAGATGTAATTTACCTTAAATAATTGTATCTCAATCTCTAAATTGAACTTTAATCACATACAGGAGGCTCTTGCAGGGTCTAGCAAGCTATTAACATAGCAGGGGATAAGAAAATCTTAATTAAACAGAACTTGCAATAAAGAAAGCCTAAATAGGGCTCTCTTTACAGGAAGTGTTTATGGAAGGCTGTGCAAGTCACATGCAGGGAGGTGTGACTAGGGTTCATAAACAAAGGGATTTAACTCCTAAATGGCAGAGGATTGAGCAGCGAGGCTGCAAGAGCATGTTCTATACACCAAAACTGCTTCATTAAGCTAAATTTGTTCAGGTGACTATAGTGTCCCTTTAAGCTAAAGTTGTTCAGGTGACTATAGTGTCCCTTTAAGCTACTTTACCCATAATCATCTGTAACAATGAAATTGTGTCGGTTTATACGTTTTGCTCATTTTCTCTGACTGACTTCCCTTTGATCTTAATATCCTCTCAGCTCTGTAAAATGTGTGGGAAAAATAGCAAAATATGACTGTTTTTCTATACAGAGACAAAATGTGTTGGGTGTCTCCAACATTTAAAGTGACCGATTCAGTTTTCCAACTGTTGCTGTAGGTGATCCCAGTGTGTTCCCTAAAACCTTCTGGAGTGTCTGAATATTTAGCAAAGACCCCTGATTGGTGTGCGGTGGCCCGGGGTGCAGTGCAGTTAATTTTACTTACCTTATGCTGTTCCGCCTGGGCCCCGCCATCTTCACAACTCCTGGCGCTTCATCCACCAGGCGTGCATGTCCGTGCTGTACCCTCGTGTGACCGCTGCAGTCTCCATACATATTATCTTGTGGTGAGTAAGATATTGCCATATTCCCACCACCATCACTAGAAAACTTGACGGCGGTAGATCTGACATATGTCACGTTTTGTCAAGTGGAGGATTTACCATAAAACAATATAGTCTCTTCCTGGGCCTCAATTTAATAAACTTTCCAAAAGATCCAGTACTGTTAGAAAACCTTCCAAATGTTTTACCTACGGAAATTCCCATAGACTCTAATAGTGACTTCCGTGGATAAGGAATCATTTCATTAATTTGAGGCCTTTGACGTACGATAATTGTTGATTGAGGTGTAAATTCACTGAAATTCCAACACCGCCTTTATCAGCATTTCATAAATATTTTCTTTATGATGTTTTGGGGGTGACAGAGCTGCTTTAATGTCTTAATAAGAATGGCGTTTTGGAAATCAAGCTTTTCAAAGATACCATGTTAATGCCTTATTATAAAAATCATGGTTTCCTAAAATAATAAAACAAGTATGAAAGCTCAAATAACAACTCTATTAGAATGATGAGAAAATACTATCCAGTAGCACCTATAACATTAAACATTTATTGCATTTAATGAGTCTTAATGATTTTTTTAGATGATGTATATTTATTTATTTTTTTAGAAAATTTCACTTTTTTTTTGTTTTTATTCTTTATTTTGTTGTGCTTAAGGGTACAAACAGGCTCGTTCCGCTACGACAGCTGGAGCAAGCAATGCGGTATCAATCGTATTCGTGGCTTATCAAACAGCACATTTTTGAGTTTTATTAAATACAAGGTAGGAACATCATGATACATCGCAAGACCTGCGTAGGAACTTTGAGTTCGTACGGGTATGGCTGTGACTGAAAGGTCTTAAACTAACAATAATGAAAGTCTACATCTGCAGTGTGTAATTAGACAAATCTATGATGGCATCTCATGGTGTGCACCTAACAGTGTGAATGAATGAGGCTGTACTCTAGAATGATGTGCGTAACACTCCCTCAAGTGCAACCTGGGTTGGCAGGGTTTGCTTCCTCTGTAAGAGTAAGCCAAGTGCTGTTAGTCCTCTGGTAGGGTCTCCCCACCTGGGTTGCAATGTGAGGGCTGTGGTGTATTGCTGTAGCGTATGCCCTGTCCATCTCCTAGGGAACGTGTATGGGGCGTGTGGTAGGGCTCCGTCCCACCAGAGCGAAGTCAAGTTACTACACCTTACCTATGGGGTCACGGGGGGAGGATCTAGTCAGGCAGTAGGTTTTAAACATCATGAGTCTTTGTAGGTGCTGAACTGCTAACTTATACTAAGGAAGGCACAATACTTGGTTCTCCATTAACGTGTAAAATTCAACGAAGTAAGAAAAGAAACAAAATAAACGTTATATATCATACGGTGAGATAGAAACTGTTAGGCTGATAACATCAGCGATACTATGCGAGCCGCATGGCTCCGTGTAGTGTCTGCTCAGGTCACTGCTATTTTATTCCGGTCTCCTCTGGGGGTGAATGAGACCGTTCTCTCAGGATCCCATGTGTGAGATGCGGACGTGGAGGGTGTCTCTTGGGCCCCTGTGTCTTGTGAGAGTCCCAAGGCTTGTAGGAAAGCGGGGGCTTCCGCAAGAGAGTTGAGTTTTAGGACAGTGTCGTTCCGTAATGCTGCTAGGGTTCTTGGCAGCAGCCACCTTTGCGTGTTGGAGCTGGACGGTTATAGGGCTTAGTGACTTTCGCCATTGTAGTGTGGTGCGCGTGATGTCTTGAAGAGACTGAGTCTGATGACTCAAAGTCCAGTGGGGTCTTGTTCCTGACTGCAGTTAGAAAGCACCGTTTGTACAGTATGGAGTGACAGGGCACAATTACATCACGCAGAGCTGCCGGCGGTGCTTGTTTAGCCTTATTGATTCTTTCTTGGCCTGGGTGTGAGACAACAGTGTAGCAGTTAACCTCCGTAGGTAGTGAGACTGTTCTGTCTGCCTACAGAGTCCGGTATTCCCCGGATTTTGATGTTCATGCGTCGGTTGCGGTCTTCCATAGTATCCAGTCCAAGTTGGTACGCAGAGTCAGAGGATTGCAGCTGGCGTAGGGGATCTCTAATTGTTTTCAGTTCTTGTCAAATATCAGTGATATCTTCCTCTGAGGCCAGGACTCTTTGGGACACGGCCTGTATCTCTGTCCGACCTAAGTTCATATCAGCATCGAACATTTGCATAATCTCCTTATTAGCTGCCTGATATTCTATTTTGGCCTTCCCCCTCAGTCTGTAGCTCCTAGGAGCTTCCCTTCCCCCCTGAAGTTAGGTCGGGGCTGTGGGGACTGGATGTCAGGTCTGAGCCGGCCGCCATTTGGTGGCTCTGGGGCCTTTGCAATAAAGTCCCTATGTCCTGGGTTTCTTTGGGGACCCTTGCCTGGGATTTGAGGGATTTCCTCACCATGTTGTGGTCGGTGAGCAGGGTGTCGATTGTACCTCATGTGCAAGCTCTGCGTACTGTTCCAGGCGTCGGGTCAGGATCAACGCCGGTGAGACCGTGAGGTAGGCCCGGGTTTTACATCAGGTTTTCCTGCCCTTCTGTGCATACAAAAAGGCATCAGCGTATAGCCCGTGGTGACAGGGCAACAAGGCACTCGTGTGTGTGTGTGTGTATGCCTGGGACTCACTGGAGCCGCGGATGGTAGCGGATTTTACACCTTTTCGCAGGAGCAACGGTAGAGTCTGTCCCAACATGGCCACTTAGCCAAATAAAAAGTGACATTTACATTTTTTTTTTTTAAATGAAATGCAATAAACTTTTAAAAATACGAAAAGTGAAAATTTGAAGATAGTTGTCTGCCTCAAAAATATGTCAAACATAGTACACCACTATAAATATGTTCTATATATATATCTATCTTTGTTCATATCCCTGTTACATTGTAGAGCATTTCAGAACCTTCTGACACGTATGAAAAATATTATAATGCTGGCTACGTTTTGACATATATTTCAAATATGATGGATTATCTTATTATATTCACGTAAATAAAACGTGATTTTTATGCTAATTTACTCTCAATAATTGATTTTGTGCGCCAGACAGAGCTTACTACTCTAGTGCAATGGAATGTCTCAAATATAGTATTGGAATCTGTCACCTGAGGACGGTTCTCACTGCTCTGAAACATTGCAAATATATACTGTATGTATTTAGTTATTCATTCAGTAGTTTGTTCATTACCAGATTTGGCAAAAGTTATTTATTTATTTTGAAATCTTTTCTAAGCTTTTAATAGCATACGTTTTTCTAGAGTGAGATAAAAAAAATTGAAAGTTAGCTAAATTTAGATTTAAAAAAACCTATATTTTAAATGTTCCCTTTGTGAACTTGTATTTCTTACACATTCTGATTTCTGCTATATTTTCCTTAATGAAGAATTATCTTACATAATTATATGGTTTTCCCTTATTTATATTACCCTCCGTCTTTCTATAAAGGTATCCTAGGAGATGACAGAATATTTATTAGCATTGATTTCATAGTATATTATATTTTTATTATGGAATTTAAAGGATTAATTAAAGGATATTCTAAGCTCCATAACCACTATAGCCACTGCAGTGTGTGCGCTTGCCCTTTCTGCTGAGCCTTAGGTAAGTTTGAAATGAACCAAGAGTCCCTCTGGGACTCGATGGACTTCCATATATACAATATCTGTTGCATCTGTGTCTCTATTTAGAAATCATTCTTCATCTGGTGCATGTCAGCTGATGTCATCCAAACTTGGACAAAACTGATATTATTAAAGTGGAAGTGAAACTTGTGTATTAGCATTATGGACAGTGAGGGGCAGGGTCACAGGTGCTGGGGGGACTCTTGATTTGTGTCAAACTGTTCGCAAACAATTTGGAACATGAATGGGAAGCAACATCAAGGGTATATTGGTACCAAAACCACTACAGCTCTCTGATTTGGAATTTTTTGTTTATGATTCCTTCTTTTCTTCTGTTTGTTATAAATCCGCTGTACTTGTAGTTTGAATTTCAGGGTAAAGCAAGTAGTGAAAATATAACATTCCTATCTGTTTCTCTTTATTGTCAACAGCCTGGGAGAAGATTTCTACCGGGAAGCTATTGAGCACTGTCGCAGTTACAACGCGCGCCTTTGCGCAGAGAGAAGTATGAGGCTACCATTTTTAGACTCCCAGACCGGCGTGGCACAAAATAATTGCTATATCTGGATGGAGAAAACACACAGGGGCCCAGGTGAGGGAGGAGAATATACAAGTATTTTATCAATATTATTAAACTTTCAGTTTGAATTGTAATATATAGTGATAAATAATGCAAGTGAAAGTACGCTTTGTATTTGTGCACTTAGTTCCAGGCGGTTACTGTAAAAGCTAGCAGTAGAGGCATGACATTGTAAAATCACAATGCTATTTTGTAAATCCTTGGAGTATGGGGAAAATTACAGCCTGATGTTCAGTTGTCATTGACAGCAACCAATGAGCAATTAAAGATACAGCAGTAATGTCAATCCCATTATTCTGATATTACAGCACTTTGATTATAAAGAGATTTGTGAAAACGTGTGTTATAACATGTTAAACACTTAGCGAATGCAGCACCTCAAAGAACTATAATGTTTTTGCACCTGGATACCTCCCCGACTTGATACTGTGTACAAGCCATGTTAAAAGAACACTGGCCACCAGAGCAACTGCACCGAAATACAGTTATTATGGTACCAAGAGGTCCCTGGTGCTGGCTCACCTTAAGAGGTTAAACCGTTCTCTGCCTCTCTGTCTTTCCGTTTTCTCAAAATCTTTAAACTGGAAGGCATTTGCAGAATCAGGCAACTAACACTCTTAGCCAATCAGTGACGGCCCATTCATAAAACTTGCTTTAGAAAGAGGTCGCAACAGCACCAAGAGAGACGCGGCGCTCGAGAAAAGGGGAGTAATTTTGTTTATTTAAAAAAAATAAAAAATGTCTAACTTTTTATTTTACACAGAGGGGAATAATTGATAATGGGCATCAGGGCTGTATTCATTTAAGCGTTTTAAGATTTGTTAACTTGACTGCTATACATGTGAAAAAATAGTCCCTACCTTTTTATGTGTTTTACGAAAACTGAAGCAGAAAGCGATTTAGACACAGGGAGCTATATATAGAAGCATTCCTTAAAGGAATAAACACACACTGCAATGTCTATATGGAACATAATGGGTTAATTGCACACCTGTCACCTGTTAGAAACATCTATGCACTTGGTTGTCCATAACCATCACCATGTCATGTAATCAAAAAGTCTTCCAAGGCGCCAGATTGGGGATTATTTTTTATTTATTTTTTTGTCCTTAAAGGTACACTATAGTCACCATAACAACTACAGCTTATTGAATTTGTTCTGGTGAGTAGAATCATTACCTTCAGGCTTTTTGCTGTAAACACTGTCTTTTCAGAGAAAATGCAGTGTTTCCATTACAGCCTAGTGATAACTTCACTGGCCACTCCTCAGATGGCTGCTAGAGATCCTTCCTGGGTCATGGCTGCCTAAAATGCATCCAAACATTCAGGATCTCCTCCCTCTGCATGCAGACACTGAACTTTCCTTATAGAGATACATTGATTCAATTCATCTCTATGAATAGATGCTGATTGGCCAGGGCTGTGTTTGAATCCTTCTGGCTCTGCCCCTGATCTGCCTCTTTGTCAGTCTCAGCCAATCCTATGGGGAAGCACTGTGATTGGATCAGGCTACCACATGTCAGCAGACTGCTTGTTTTTCTGAGTCTAACAGCATGCAGAGTTACAGCTTCAGGCTTGAATACAGTAAGATTTTGCTATATTTATGGAGGCATGAGGGGGGACTAAATGGTGGTGTTAACACTATAGGGTCAGGAATAAATGTTTGTGTTCCTGACCCTATAGTGATCCTTTAACCCTGTGATTTTTGGGCCATTAACCATTTCAAGCTGAGATTAAAAATTCTAAGTTACAAAATACATATTTCTTATACAATTGAACAATGCAGTAAAAATACTTTTAGTAGAATTTCAAAATCCCCTTTCTGGCTAAATGTCCACCTTTTCTTACTTGCTTTCTATAGCTTAGTTGATCCACCCCCTTTTTGCCCAGCACGAACTTCATTGTTTGTGTTGAGCAGTGACCAGTCAGATACAAGAATCTATGAACCCGTACGTAAAAATAGATGCAAAATATTAATATATATATATGTATATATATAGTGACAGAACACCCTATCACTGAAATACTGTGTTCACCTACTTTTTCCCTGTTTTGTTTGGTAACCGAACCAAAGCACGAACTCCACTTGTTATACCTCCCATACTCAGCCCTCCCGTATGCTTGATAACCTTGTTGACCCCTATTGACACCTTCATAACGTGTTTGGCTGGGTGGCCGCCATTCGTATGTACGTGGGAAGTGAGTTGGCGTCCATCTTGTTCCCGCGAACACAGGGAGTGGTGTTCAGTCGTCGAGTGCATGGAACCAAAATCGGACACTCGCATTGATAATGCTTTCCTATGCGACCGGCTGAATGCGCGTGCGCATTCAGCCGACGGGGAGGATTGGAGGAGGAGAGCTCCCCGCACAGCGCTGGAGGAAGGTAAGTTTTACCCCCTTTCCTCTCCCCAGAGCCGGACGGGAGGGGGACCCTGAGGGTGGGGGCACCCTCAGGGCACTATAGTGCCAGGAAAACGAGTATGTTTTCCTGGCACTATAGTGGTCATTTAATGAGGCAGTTTTAGTGTATAGATTCACTGCTCAATTCTCTGCCATTTAGGAGTTAAATCACTTTGTTTCTGTTTATGCAGCCCTTGTCACACCTCCCCTGACTCTGATTGACACAGTCTGCATGAAAAAAAACTGGTTTCACTTTCAATCAGATGTAATTTACCTTAAACAATTGTATCTCTTTCTCTGTACATTGAGCTTTAATCACATACAGGGGGCTCTTGCAGGGTCTAGCAAGCTATTAACATAGCAAGGGATAAAATAATCTAAATTAAACAGAATTTGTAATAAAGGAAGGATAAACTTTAGATGATTTTTAACAGGAAGTGTTTAGGAAGGCTGTGCAAGTCACTTGCAGGGAGGTGTGACTAGGGTTCATAAACAAAGGGATTTAACTTCTAAATGGCAGAGAATTAAGCAGTGAGACTGCAGTGGCATGATCTATACACCAAAACTGTGTCATTAAGCTAAAGTTGTTTTGGTGACTATAGTGTCCCTTTAACTTTCTCATCTCCTGTTGTGTGAAAATCTGAAAATGTTATAGATGGTGGATCGCAATATACCTCATTGTTTATAGTTTTTTTTACATGTTTGTTGCATCTGTATACAAGATGTAAATTATATCTGGAAATGTCTTAGAAAAAGAAGCAAAAAAGAAAACATGAAAAATACATTATTATGAGGTGCAACCTTCCAAATTTGGTTAAATGGGGAAAATGGGAAAGAAAAAAAATCTGTTTTATTTGCAAGCATATTCCTTGAGTTTACAGAGAAATGTCCGGCTAAAGCTCTTTCTTAGTAATGAAAGACAATGTCAGAATTCGGATTATTGATTCACAGTAAGATGAGATGTGGATTTCAAACCCAGTGTATTATTTTAGATATTTATCTGAAAAATGTATTCAGTAAATTTGAAAACTTATTTAATTTTGTATTTTTAAAACACGGTTTATGGCAAAATTAATTAAGCACTGCTAAGGCGTAACAAATGTAAACAATCTATTTTGCCATATCCTTGGAGGAAAACATCTACAATTTCTCACCTTGCTATCGTTTTGTATTGTGGAATTGGAAATCTCAGCCTGTTTTTTTTGTTCATGTAGACAACATCGGAGACTCCAAGGGTAAATTAAAGAAACGAGTGCCACTGTTTTGTAAATACATTCTCCCCCCACCCTTAATTCGCTGTTGAATCCAGTATTTAAAGCAATGGAACGTTTGCGTGAACAGCCAGAGTTTTAAATTGCGTTCTCTCCAGAGGCTGACTCCCGTGGCATTAATATAATGTGGGTCTGACATTTAGTTTTGGTGTAATATCAGATAAGCTATGCTTCTCTTAAACCTCACCTGAAAGATGTTTATATTATTCCCCTTTAGGACTTTTCTAAGATTAAATGATCTGCTTTCAGCCGAATCTGAAGGCCATGCAGGTGTCTAATCTTGTGTTAATATATATATTATTTAATATCTATGGTAATGTGTTTAAACCACTGGGTACATATCTTGGCAAGCTCTATGTCTAGCAAACCATAAAAATAATAAAACACGCAATTTGAATTTATTTATTTTCAAATGTTTAATTTAAAAAATTTTTTTTTTAAAGGACAAATAGTTTAAGACATTTGAATGCTGTATTTCTGCTATAATTTCCACCTTTTGTGCTTACAATGATAGGCAGATACCGCTTTCCTTGTCAATGTTGAATAGATGGTTTTTGAAACTGGAGCAGGACTCCGAGGAGAAAGCTGGACAGAGCCAAGCTTTATCTCGCTTTAGCTGAAATGAAAATTAAATGCATATTCCGTCTCATTCTGTGGCAGGTCTATCGGCCGGACAGATTTACACATATCCCGCACGATGCTGGAGGAAGAAGAGGCGGTTGGATATCTTGGAGGATCCTCGTCTGAGACCCTGTGAGTTCAAATTTGGTAAGGCGTTAGTTTGGGTGGGTCCAAGGTGTTAATACTCTCATTATGCTAGGGGAGACCTGCAATGCTTGGCACCCGAGAGAGGATTACTGCAACCAAGTGATGGAAATTGCAAAGAGAATTAACATTAGATATGTATGTCTGTCTGCTGTACAGGAAACTGGTTGCATCAGGCAGGAAAGTCCGGTTACCGGAGGCAGGAAAGGCCGGTTACCGGAGGCAGGGAAGGCCGGTTACCGGAGGCAGGGAAGGCCGGTTACCGGAGGCAGGAAAGGCCGGTTACCGGAGGCAGGAAAGGCCGGTTACCGGAGGCAGGAAAGGCCGGTTACCGGAGGCAGGGAAGGCCTGTTACCGGAGGCAGGGAAGACCGGTTACCGGAGGCAGGGAAGGCCTGTTACCGGAGGCAGGGAAGGCCGGTTACCGGAGGCAGGGAAGGCCGGTTACCGGAGGCAGGGAAGGCCGGTTACCGGAGGCAGGGAAGGCCTGTTACCGGAGGCAGGAAAGGCCGGTTACCGGAGGCAGGAAAGGCCGGTTACCGGAGGCAAGGAAGGCCGGTTACCGGAGGCAGGAAAGGCCGGTTACCGGAGGCAGGAAAGGCCGGTTACCGGAGGCAGGGAAGGCCGGTTACCGGAGGCAGGGAAGCGCCGGGTTACCGAGGTAGGAAAGGCAAATGGCTACCGGGAGTGCGGGGCAGCTACCGCTACCGGAGGTAGCCGTTACCGGAGGCGAAGGCCGGTTACCGGAGGCAGGGAAGGCCGGTTACCGGAGGCAGGGAAGGCCGGTTACCGGAGGCAGGGAAGGCCGGTTACCGGAGGCAGGGAAGGCCGGTTACCGGAGGCAGGGAAGGCCGGTTACCGGAGGCAGGGAAGGCCGGTTACCGGAGGCAGGAAAGGCCGGTTACCGGAGGCAGGAAAGGCCGGTTACCGAGGAAAGGCCGGCTACCGAGGCAGGAAAGTCGTTACCGAGGCGCAAAGCCGCTACCGAGGCAGGAAAGGCCGGTTACCGGAAAGGTGGGGAAAGGCCGGTTACCGGAGGCAAGGAAGGCCGGTTACCGGAGGCAGGAAAGGCCGGTTACCGGAGGCAGGAAAGGCCGGTTACCGGAGGCAAGGAAGGCCGGTTACCGGAGGCAGGAAAGGCCGGTTACCGGAGGCAAGGAAGGCCGGTTACCGGAGGCAGGGAAGGCCTGTTACCGTAGGCAGGGAAGGCCAGTTACCGGAGGCAGGGAAGGCCGGTTACCAGAGGCAGGGAAGGCCGGTTACCGGAGGCAGGGAAGGCCGGTTACCGGAGGCAAGGAGGTAGAGATGGTTAGTTGCAGTTGGTAGAGGAGACTGGTTGTAGACGGCAGAGAGACATGGTTTTGAGGGATAAAGAAGACTGGTTACTGGAGGCAGGGATTCTGGTTACTGGAGGCAGGGAAGGTCGGTTACTAGAGGCATGGAAGGCTGATTGGAGAAGGCCGATTGGAGGAGGCAGAGCTATTTTTAGGGGTAAAGGAGGTTGGTTATAGGATGCAGAGAAGGGTGGTTGCAAAAGATAAAAATCTGCGGCAGTCGACAAGGGTATGGATTGAAGAGAGTCTGATAAATGTTAGTTTTTGATTGCTCTGTTGTGAAGATCTGTAAGTGCTTTCTATTCAATTTTTGTTATACATATGTGTATTAAGTGTGTAAGTTACAGCTAACTAGTGCCTTGCTGGTCTCTCACTAGCAAATTAATTAACACCAAGGGCAATTATGAGGTAAATTCCAACATCAAAAGAGCTTACAATCAGATGCCTAATGTGCAGTTAGGAGGCAAAACTGTCTCAGCATGTCCTGATAACGTGCAGTCAGATCCCCTACATTAGATATAAACCCAGCGCTGTCTGAGCCTGTCCTGATAACGTGCAGTCAGATCCCCTACATTAGATATAAACCCAGCGCTGTCTGAGCCTGTCCTGATAACGTGCGGTCAGATCCCCTACATTAGATATACACCCAGTGCTGTCTGAGCCTGTCCTGATAACGTGCGGTCAGATCCCCTACATTAGATATAAACCCAGCGCTGTCTGAGCCTGTCCTGATAACGTGCAGTCATTACATTAGATCTAAACCCAGCGCTGTCTGAGCCTGTCCTGATAACGTGCTGTCATTACATTAGATATAAACCCAGCGCTGTCTGAGCCTGTCCTGATAACGTGCAGTCATTACATTAGATATAAACCCAGCGCTGTCCGAGCCTGTCCTGATAACGTGGGGTCATTACATTAGATATAAGCCCAGAGCAGTCTGAGCCTGTCCTGATAACGTGCAGTCATTATATTAGATATAAACCCAGCACTGTCTGAGCCTGTCCTGATAACGTGCAGTCAGATTCCCTACATTAGATATAAACCCAGCACTGTCTGAGCCTGTCCTGATAACGTGCAGTCAGATCCCCTACATTAGATATAAACCCAGCGCTGTCTGAGCCTGTCCTGATAACGTGCAGTCAGATCCCCTACATTAGATATAAACCCAGCGCTGTCTGAGCCTGTCCTGATAACGTGCGGTCAGATCCCCTACATTAGATATAAACCCAGCGCTGTCTGAGCCTGTCCTGATAGCGTGCGGTCAGATCCCCTACATTAGATATAAACCCAGCGCTGTCTGAGCCTGTCCTGATAGCGTGCGGTCAGATCCCCTACATTAGATATAAACCCAGCGCTGTCTGAGCCTGTCCTGATAACGTGCAGTCAGATCCCCTACATTAGATATAAACCCAGCGCTGTCTGAGCCTGTCCTGATAACATGCATTCAGATCCCCTACATTAGATATAAACCCAGCGCTGTCTTTATATGTCCTGTAATCTCTGTTAAAAAAAAGAAAGATAAGAAAATCAGATTGCAAGCCCTTTGTTGTGGGAATAAATCTCTGGGGGGGGGGGGGTGGATTTACTGTGTATGGCAAGTAGTGTGTATTTAAAGAAACAGTCCATTGCCTAGAAGTAAATGCAATTCACTGTTTAGTAGATATGCCCCCAATGAAATCATTCATGTCTTTATCCATGGTGGAATATCTATCGGAAGTGGAAGAAAACCATCCTGGCTCTCTGATTGGCAGAAAGCCAGGGAGTTCTATGCTTTTACATATCAGGACATAATACCAATCATCTGTTCCTTAGCAGGTCTTAAAATTATATAAATACAACCTTAAATGAACAACACATGACTATTACACTGTGCCATGATTTATTCAACAAAAATAAAGCCAAAATGAAGGCGGTGATAATCAAATGCTCTAGATTAATTGATCATCAGCAAGTGTGGCCACCTCTATAAAAGCTGGAGTTCTCATGCATGGGATAGGCATAAGGCTATCCTAACTATAAGATAAGGCTAGGGACTAATGAAAGTTTTTAGAAAATTGGGCAGACTAGATGGACCGAATGGTTCTTATCTGCCGTCACATTCTATGTTTCTATGTTTCAGTTTGTGTTAACACAGTACCAAGGAGGAAAGATACCAGCAATGATCAAATGATCTTCGAGAAGCTTTGTTGCTGCCCATTGTGAAGAAATCCCCTTTTGTTGTATTATGTATACCCATTGCATTCCCTTTTGTTACACTATTTCTGCCCATTGCATTCGGTAGATGTAACTACCGAACAAAGACCACCCCTCTGGCTCGTTAAACATCAAAGTCTGGTTCAATTGCTACCTCTGTCTGTGCGGCCAGCGTTCGTACAGTCGAACGCCACGTGGCAGAGAAAACCACGGCCATCTTTGTTCATGCGAACAAAGGTAGCGGGACCTGGTCGTCGAGTGTATGGAACTGAAAACGGACACTCGACTTCCCGAACACCGGTCCCAAACAGACGAACGCTGGAACTCTATTTACCGAATAGCTAGAAGAGCGCTATTCAGTACTTTGGTGTATTCGACAGAGGGGTACGAACGCTGCTAGGAGCCAGAAGGATCCATTCGGTACTTTGTTCGTTTTTCTGCTATTTCTAAAGTGACCGGCAAAATCCACCAAATTCATGGAACTGTTTTGGGCATACAGCCCAGGGTGAGCCAGTCACAGAAGACATCCATAGTTTTCGCGAACCCCTGAACTGATCTGGGTGAAATTCAAATATGTTGGTCACCCAGATCAGGGCTATCAGGGGACATGTTATTGGGGAAAAAAGTGATTTTTCAACCCGGAGATAATTAAGTTACTATCTTATCAGACTTAATTATCTCCAGGGCTAGGGGAGGGAACTGTGGTTGTGTGTTAAAGTTTTACTGTATATGATTGGTGAATATTTGTCCCTCCCTGAGGGTTGTCCCCTTGCATGGGGACTTGCATAAAAGCTGTGTGCATCCATTAAAAGTTAGTTCATCTTGTACCCTTCTTCTTGACTTCGGCTGATGTTTGGGGATTCGTGTGTTTCACTAAGGGAATCGTCTTGTGAAGCTATTGGGATTACTATACGGTTCGTCTATTCTATCAACCGAATGGAGGGCTATAATCACTAAGGCTCTGGCGGTTCGGGGGGAAACTACCGAATGAGGTTTAAATACACTTTGTTTCCTTACACCCATCATACTGGGAAGGGTTATAAGGCCACTTCCAAACAATTTAAAGTCCATAATTCTACAGTGAAAAAGATGATTCAGAAATGGAAAACATTCAAGACAGTTGACATCCCAGCAAATTCACTCCACGGTCAGACTGTGCAAAACACCGAGATATTGCAAAAACTCCAAGAATTACATCTCAGACTCTACTGGCCTTGGAAAACACGTTAAAGTTAAAGTTCATGACAGTACAATTAGAAAAAGACTGAACAAGTGTGATTTGTTCGGAAGGGTTGCCAGAAGCCTCTGTTCTCTAACAAGAACATGGCTGCACGGCTTAGGTTTGCAAAGTTGCATCTGAACAAGCCACAAGACTTCTGGAGCAATGACCTCAGGACAAACCAGACCAAAGTGGAGATGTTTGACCATAATGCAGAGCGCCCATTTGGTTAAAACCAAACTCAGCACATCAGCACAAACACCTCATGCCAACTGTCAAGCACGGTGGCGGAGACGAGATGATTTGGGCTTGTTCTGCAGCCATAGGACCTGGGAACCTTGCAGTAACTGAGTCGACCATGAACTCCTCTGTATACCAAAGTCTTATAGAATCAAATATGAGGCCATCTGTCTGACAGCTCAAGCTTGACTGAAATTGGGTCATGCAACAGGACAATGATCCCAAGAACAGTAGCAAATCTACAACAGACTTGCTGAAAAAAAAAAAATCATGGTGTTGCAATGGCCCAGTCAAAGTCCAGGACTTAACCCGATTGAAATGCTGTGGTGGGACCTTAGAGAGCGGTTCATAAACAAATGCCAGGAAACCTCAATGAACTGAAGCAACGTTGTAGAAAGAGTGAGCTAAAATACCTCCACAACGATGTGAGAGACTGATCGTTACAGAAAACGATTACTTCAAGTCGTTGCTGCTAAAAGTGGTTCTACAAGCTATGAATCATAAGGTGTACTTAGTTTTTCACACATTGCTTGGCTTTATTTCACTTTAATAAATCATGACGCAGTGTTGTTCATCTGAAGTTGTACTTACTTAGTTTTAAGACCTGCTAATGAACACATGATTGTTATTATGTCCTAATATGTAAAAACCATAAAGTTCAAAGAGGGTGTACCTTTTTCCCCCATGACTGTATATATATGTATATATTGTATGCTACAAATGTGACGGGCTCCAGACCCACAATGTGGAGTGTTCCTTTAACTGTGGATATTTAGTGTATAGATGTGAATATACATTCCCTTCCTATGGAATAGCCTGCCTACCCCCAGCAGACTCTCCCCTAGTCTTCAATCATTTAAGAAGTGCCTTAAAACCCATCTCTTTAGGAAAGCTTATTGCCTTCTTTGACGGACCGCCTGGCACCCCGACCGGGTGCCTCAGCCAATCGATGCTTCCTAGCTGACGCTGAAGACCATAAGCACCGCACCAGACACCATAAGCTCCATAGACCCCACGAACCGCTGCAGCTTGGTTGGGGTCTCTCTGTCCCTTCCCACCCTGGACCAAACTCCTGGATCCAGGGACCTAGTGGGAAGGCCTCTCCTACAGGAGGGTATAGCCTTGAAGCTCTTACAAGAGCTAGTAGTGATAGCTGTATAGCAGTTCCCTACCACAATAGACTGGCTTAATGGTAACCACACTGGCCTTTTATGCAAGTCCCCGTGCAAGGGGAACGTCCACATGGACCTTGTTGGGGACAGGGATACAAACTTACAAACCAATAATAACACATTTACAATGTAAGGCACTCCCACA